TTCTTTCTTTGATGAAATTAGACAAATTTGTAAGACTCGTTCACGTTCAAAAAATAAAAATTAACAACGATTTACCAATGTAACACCAGTCGAGTTACACTTCAAATATGATCAACTATTACGCAAACGTCACGAACGATTAAAAAAAGGAGTACAAAAAAGATTCGTGGAGTTAATTTCCCCTAATGAGACAGTACGTATTCAAATAACATATTTGTTTGAATTTTCGAATCCCCGTCCTTCACGAATTCGGAATAAATCTGCAATTTCCACGGCGATCACAGTCATCGATATTTAGAGAAAGATGTTTTGTCACCATTTTTGAAGGCTGTTTGTTCTTGACCTTTTTGTACAGCCGTCTATGAGATCGTTTTCGCCGCGAACGGGGCGTATCTCGAATGCTAATTTATCGAGAGACGGACCAAAGTAGAAACATTATTGCCCGTTCCGCCAAACTTAGTATCCCCTATAAACACAGCATCTCATAAATAATTTCGTAAATCTCTTCCTACGTGTCTCTATTCGTTTCACTCGCAACTAATATCGCTAAAAAAAGAACTTACTACACACGACCATTTCTTTTTCTTCTTGCAATTTCACTCAAATCTATCACATTGTGTTCACAAAACAATTCGTCCTAACAGTTCGTCAAATTAGCGAAACACGAATGTAGATCATTGGACAAATTGTTTCACTTAAAGATGCGACAAAAATCGCTCTATTGGTAACAAAAATGAATTTTAATTCTAACTTACAAAGTTAGAAAACCGAGGATTGCCAAATGTAATTCATCAACGATACCTTAGCCTTTATTATCTAACACAGTACTAAAATAGTGAATAGCCGATGCTTAAACGCAAAAAAGAATCACAAGTTAAGGGGTTATTCATCATCGGGTTACCTAAGGATCGTCGACGATAACACGAAAAACCGAGCCCGGAAATATTAATTGCTCGCATAATTAGTCGTCATGATCTTTCCATTTGTCAGAGAGGGTTCGCGTACTCCCCTAAAAAGTATCGTCCGATTTATGGGCCGCCCCGGGCCAATCCTTTCGCTACGTGCATCTGGACGAATTTTGCGGGCGTGTGCTCACACGTGCGTGTGGAGTCGCGGTGCGGCCCATATATTATACAAAGTTTCCCCATCTGCCCTCTCTGTTCCGCCAAATCGCGTGGATAGCCGAACGGGGAAGACGAGTCAATATCTCTCCCCACGTGAAGCCGCGGGCAGGTAAAAATGTCTCAACTTGGGTGCCCTGGCTCGTCCTGGATGCTCCTTTTGCTCCTTTCTTCCCAGGACCTCCTTCTCTCCCTATCTATCTATCTTCCGCCGAGGGCGGCTCCTTCACGGGCCAGACAGGAGGAAGAAGAAGGAAGAACCGGCCATGAAGAAGAAGAAGAAGAAGTTGAAGGAGGAGGAGGAGGAGGAGGAGGAAGGGGAACATGCCAGAACGAGATGGATGGACCGTTCGTTCTTTCTGCGCGCTGTGTAAAAGTGGCGAATGCCGCGAGCACCGTTCCCTCTACTCGTAGTTAGACTAATGATTAGGCCCGACGTGTGCGACGGCTGTTGAGTTTCGGTTCTTCTTCGTCGATCCATTTGTTCGTACTACGATCTTCTTCGTTCGATCGTTAACTACTTCCACGTTTGGAGAAATTGTTTCTAATTAGATCTCGTTGTTCGTGATTTCGGGACATTTTTGTGGGGAATTGAAGACATGGTTTTTTTAATTGTTTATGAATGTCTACCTTTTCTGGTATTCGGTGGTATAAAAGTTAGATAGATCTGTTTGTTTATCGTGTCATTAGATCGCTCTGAGTTTGCTGATGCAAATATGAGCCATTCAGAGGCCAAACTGATTAACTCAACTTTTGATCGACGAAACGACTGATTTTTCGTTATTCCATTTATTTTCAAAAAATCATTTTCATGTAAAATTAGTTACTTAATCTTGATACAGTGTTAAACAATCCGAAGTAGAACGTAACATATCATCATGTAATATTTCAACGACTAACGAGTAGCATCGAGATAATTAATCCGTATACAATAAGGGATATTCAATCTAACTTCCACAGATCCCTTTATGGATCATATAAAAGTCGTAAATTAAGGGAAGCGCCTTCGCTGTTCTTCGAAGTAGAAACTAAAACTGAACAACCCGAGACTAGCTACTTTTTTCACCTCGTATCGATGAGTTCACAATAATTTACTATTATTTGCAAAAAGAAGCTCGACTTGATCTCGGCATAAGGAACAGATCGAGCGGTATAATCGAATCTGAAACTAATTAAGGGAATTTCGAACGAGAGAGCAATTGTGCAAACTATGCGTAAGCCTCTAAACGCGGCACGGTGGACGGAACACACAGAGAACAGAAGAAGAAAGAGAGAGAAGAAGAGCCGCGTATTCCCACGCTCGATGTGTGTCGAATGATCGAAAAAGGAGCATCTGGCCGCTGCGTTACTTCGAACTAATAATCCGTCCTGAGTAGTGGCCGAAAGTTGTCGAACGAAGCGAGGAACGGGTAAGGATCGACTCATCGTCGATCAGAGCAGCCCGCGAAACGCAGGATCTCCGAGAAACAGCTAACGGATATTTCCAGGAAAATATCGCAAGAACGAAAGGAGCAGAGAGAGCGTTCCACGAGAAAAGAGTGGCTGCTCTGCTCCCCGTTCGTGATCCGTTCTCTCTCTCTCTCTCTTTCTCCGAGTTCTCGCGTGCACGTTACGCGCGCGGAGAGGTAGAGGAAGAGAAGAGACGAGAGGGCAAGTAGTTGAAGAAGAGAAGACGAAGACGAAGACGAAGAAGAGTATTTGTAGGTGTATAAGAGAGGACTGTTGGAGGAAGACCGAGGACGTAGAGAAAGAGGAGGCTGGTGGGGTAAAAAACAAAAGTCCAGTCGGTCGTGGAGCGGTCCAGGATGGTCCCAAGCTATTCGGGACCACCCCGAGAGCCGAGGGGTCCAGCTCGGCTCGCGGCAATCAGGTGCCGTTGGAATGCGACCGTCCAAGAGAAAAACAAAACAAATTTTTATGCCCTCGTCTCTCCCGGCTCCTCGTCCCCTCCCTCCCTCCCTCTTCCCCTTTTCGGCTCTGGTTCGGTTTGCTCCTCATTCTAGTCCCCCACCTCGGTGAGTCGGCCTCCTCGGAAGAAACATTAGGCATTACTTAAGGGCCATGGTCCAGCGTGGAGGAAGGGTACCCACTGTTGCTTCCCTTTTGCTCTCGAAGGCGCTCGCTTTGGCGGCAGAAAAAAGGACGATTTCACGCTGCGAATTGTCCACGGCTCGTTCTGGGGGCCTCTCATTTACGAGGGTAACGATTCCCTTATCGATCTCGTGCCGGAACGAGGATAGCTGGTTATCGGTGTCGGCTTTGCCCCATTCGTCCTCCGCTATCCGACTTTCGTCTCTCTCTCTCTCTCTCTCTCTCTCTCTCTTTCTCGACGATCCAACGATGCTCGTTCGAATCGCTGCCCAACCAGCCAGCCAGCCTCGAGAGCTCCAGGGGATTAAGATGTGACTGGAACGAGCAGCTTCGGTTCGTTGTTTCGGGGAAAATTGATTTGCAGCCAGTTTAGCGTGAACGATGGAATTACCGTTGCTGCTGGCGGGTAGCTGGCTTCGAAGGAACCTGGTTGATCGATGCTCGCTGAAAGTCGGATAGCTACTCGGAACGATACTCCTTTTTCCTTCGGGCTGACCAAACCTCATTGTGAACGAACCACGGTTGTATTTGCCTCTATTGTTTTATTCTTCTTTTCCTTCCTCTTCCTCTTTGGATTAATAATTAAGGGTTTCGTAATCTATTGCGAGTTTTACTCGTAACATTTGCGTCTACTTTGTTCGGGAATTTATCGGGATGCTTGGCGGTTGTGATTTTCCTTTTTTAGGGATAGTTAAAAATTCGAAGCTGAACAAACTGTTGGTGTACATGTCGAAATAGAAAATTTAAATTTTCGAAGTTATTTCGGTGGAAGCATTTTCTTCGTTGCACTTCGATCAGGAATGCACATGTAGGAAGAACGGTATTTCGAGGAGTGCACTTAAAATCGACGTTTAGGAAAAGAAACGACCGTAGAAGAATTCAGGCAATATCTAGGTAGACAATTAGAGGAGGAAAGTTTCGAGACGTCGCTCAGAAATTTATCGTAAATGAACAGGTTACTCAGTTTACCGAGATTACCGAGGTTTTACCTTTCCGACTATTCCTCAGATTTATACCTTTCGTCGTCGGACGGAGAGATAACGAGTAGCGGTGATCTACGTCGGAATAAAAGGATAATTACCTTCGAACGAGACAGTTGCAGAAAAGGAAAACACGTAATTCAAATTTATGACATCGAACAAATCACCATAATGTTACTTTCGGAAGGAAAAATATCTGTGCAACATGTATTGATAATTAAAAGTACCCTAAATATGACACAAAAAATTTCACAATCTTTTTTACAATATAGCAGCTTACTTACTAAAATTATTTGAACATTGTTACTTAAATGTCGATCGTTACTGAAATCAATTTTGTCTATTTCCTGAAAATAAGCTCCGGTGGATTCTTTTCAATTATATTCACCCTGAAACAGCTGTTATTCCAAACCTAACTACCTAATTACGTTATTCACCATTTCCCCCTTTCCAAGTGATTCATCAAGCCACCTCGTTCATTTCCCTTTTACCATTACACTTCAATTCTACCTATTATACCTTCTTATTATCGCGTTCTACCATCGAGAATACGACAAAAACGAACCTTTCCCCATAGAATCCGTCCACAATTAAACTTTTAAGAAGGCGGCATCGTTGAACAGACGAATGTTTACGAAAGTTCCAGCTATCGTATCCCCGCAGCAATGTATAACGAGTAAGAACGATTTACTCCGGGTGAAGAGGCTAATTGCAGCTCGACAATCCCGTCGTAAATCCACGTTTCCGTTTCGTTCGCCGCTCACTCGGTTTCGCCTTGCTTAATGAGACGTTTTTTCTCGATCTGCAGATCATCACGTTCCCGGAGTGAGGCATGAGCGCGGCAAAAGGCTCTGGTTTGACGTGTCCGAGGTACCGCCCGGGGAACACATAATCGGTGCAGAGCTCAGGCTCTATCGCAGCATGGACGTGAAGAATCGGAGGAATCGTGGATCGTACATGATCACGGCCTACCGGGTCTTGAGAACCGAAGATGGGTGAGTCTTTCAGTGAAACTAGAGCTTAATCCTGTCAAGATTCGCCAAGGTTCTCTAACCTTCCGCAGCTTTACTCGCGGAGAGAACCGTTCAATTTTTAGTACGATCGCGAGAAACACGTCGAAGTTTATTTTTCAGCTAAATCTGCGGTGAATTTGAACAGACAGAAGCGTTGGTACGTTTTTAGAAGCTACATTGTTGAAAAAAATGTTTGTTCGTCGAGTGTAAAGAATATGGTCTTCTGTTCGTTTGTATAACTTCTTACACGAGAAGTAAGTATACCGAACTATTTTTGTACACGTGATGTAACATGCATTTCATAGAAACGCGTTACGGAGAACCACTGAAACGTGTAAATTTTTCAAATCAATTTTTTTTTTTTTTCGGAAGCATAAACTTCGACTTATTTTCGGATGGAAGCTAGAAATTACAACATACGTTCGGGTAATTCAAATAAATATCGATGTAGTAAGATATTCTTTTCAACCCCGAGTCACTGTTTTTCCACAGCTTTGTCTCGGAGAAAAAGCTTGGAAAAAGCAGAACCAATTCTTTCCCTCAGCTTCTATCCTTCGTTTCGAAGAAACCCGTTCAGAGGTGGCGAATTACGTGTTTTTTCTCCTCTCTCTTTCTCGAAAGTTTGCAATGATTTCCTTTTCCTTAATGTCATTGTCGTGTCGACAATTAGGAGGTCCCGGTTCCCGGAAAAGTGTTCCTCCAGGTATTGCTTCTACCTGCAGCCACCTTTAGCCGACTGCTATTTCAGGGTGAGTAAGGGTGGCTGATAGTTTCGAGGTGACCTTTAACTGCTCGAAAGTGAGGTGGAGGATCGAGGAGAGCACGGTGGAAAAACGGTATCCTTTCTCGTCTGTCTTTCTCTGTTGTCGAGAGGAAGCAAGGCCTGGCTGGGTGGGTGGCTAGACCAATTTCGTGTTCCTTCAGGCAGAGTCCGTGGTTTTTGACATCGTCATCGTGCCTCTAATTAGGCCGTCCTTAAGTCGCCGAAAAAATCTCAGGTATTTGTTCTACCTGTGAGAGTTTCGGGGACCAACCCACCGTCTCCGTTCGATTCTACCTTTCTCATTCATATCCAGGGCCGTCTAGCGGCGCACGAATAACGACCGGCTCCTTTCTAGAAGCACCGGTACTGTTACGACATATTTCCGATCGATTTTTATCTCGAACCGTCGCTCGTTAATACCGATCGAATTAGTCAAATACGACGAATCTGATACATTCTTGTTACAACCCATCGTACTGGTGGATTCTTTCGCTCGTTTCTCCTTTGTACACCTTCGTTCAATTATACGAGGATCGTTGTACTTTCGATTCAAAGTCGTTTCCACGATCGGTACGACCAAGTTTCCTAAAAGAGCGATTAATCGAGCGGCGGACACGGAGGAACGTGCACACAGATGGTTTCATTGGCCGACACGAGCCTAGCCGTTTCGAGTCCACGTGTCTGCTCGGACGAGGAGGACGGTGTGGCGGATGGCGACAGCGTGTCTAGAGCCATCCCTGTCTGTGATACCTCTCCGTAGACTTTGGTACTACGACCTGACCGATATACAGGCCCCGACAGGAAACGCTATTCCGTAAATTGAGGTAAATTAGCCGTGGAGACGGGCTTCGGAGCGAGGAGTTAAGAGCACGAGTTACTTGGTGTGCCTACGCAGTTGCACGCAGCCACTCCACCTCCTCTCCTTCCTTCTCCTCCTTCTCTTCTTCCTCCGCATTCTCCTCCTTCTCCTTTTCTTCTTCGGCCTCTTCCGTCAAACTCGATGCGTGACGCATCCTCCTCCACCTCTTTATCCTCCTCCACCTTCTGGTCCAGCCGAGACAAGCTGGCGACTCTGGTTTCTTACGTGTGCGCCGCCAGGTTTCCATAAGAGTTGCCCGTGGTAGGGATACCAGCGCGTCAGCTGTCTCTTGGCCCTCGATAAGAGGGATCTTCACTGACGAAAGTCAGACAGTGACACTTGCCGTAACGAGCCTCAGGGTCTCATGCTTTTAGACTCAATTAGGGATTCATGAATTTTTCTCCTCGCTCGCGCGTTTATTAGCCGGGGCCGCTTCTTCTCTTGCGCATCGCTCCGTGTCACTCTCTACGGCGACAGGATGCTCTTGGATATCGTTCGTTCTCCGCTGAAAAATCTCTGTTTCTCTTGTCACTTCAGCCGGCTTTTTTTTTTCAATTCGGTGCAAGCGTAGAGTTGCACGGAAGAGAGTAAGGGAGAAATGTGAGAGGAGATTTTTGAATAATTCAGAGGGGAAAGGAAATTGGGAGCTGTAGATCAATTAATTGTTTTAACGAGTCGAGGAAATTTAAGTGACTCAGCTGATTTTGAAAAATGAGGAATGTTATTCTGTAAATATAAACAGAGGAAACTTATTGATTATATATTCATACCTTTCAACTTTCAATTATAAATATACAATTATCGTCAGCGTCGAATTTTGGATAATCTTTCAAAATGAATAATGCATCGAATTATTGTTGAATTTTAAACGATTAATAAGGTGGTAATTTGTTGTTGAATGCAACGATGTTCTGGTGCAATTACAAATGCATTAGATGACTGTACAGAATAGTATGCGATGCTTTGATGACACTATTAAGCTGACAATCATTTCGTTTTACCTTGTAGTATCGGCAAGTGTCGGTGCATTAAGCGTTATTACATTCAGATATTTGTTGTTCGTATTTTCAGATACAATTTTAAACGATGCAATTATCAACACTCGAGGCGTTTAACAAAGTGTTCAGTTTCGAACCGTATTTATCGGAGAATAACGATATTCAATTTGCCGCGGAAATAATGTCCTGTTTATCACGATGAAACGGCCGCGCTTTGAAATTCAAATATACGTAACAGCTCAAGAAAGCTAAAAGTTGATTGATAATCAACGTCAGTTCCTTGCGTTTAGGAATGCGCAACCGCGAACACTGGAATGTATTCAATTTTACACTTTGAAATTCATGAATTGTTTTTGCCGCGAAAAACACGAAACAATCTAAACGGCGAGTATGTTCATTTCACGAAGAAAATCCGTTTTGCAATTCAACAGGGGAACAATACGCATATTTTCCAAGTTACGATAAATCTTTCAGTCCAAAAAGTTGATAAATACGAATAAATTAACACTTTCGTTGAAGAAAGAATGAAAATTAGATAATTTACGTCAAATTTCATTGCTGTAACTATTTGTCATTAGAAATCGATAAAAGTTTATAATGGCAAATTTATAAGCACGGAAAATATTCAAGTATAATCACTATTTTCATTCATAATTCAATTTTTTCAAAATCTAATCGAATAGATTTAAAAAATTTCTTTTTGGTACGACAGATGTTTCTATATTACATTATATCGCACATTCACTTTGCTTCATTTGAAATCAACGCGTTATTAGATAGTTCCTAAAATCGCAAAGATCAAAATTTTGCTATCTCTCACTTCGAAAATAAAAAAATACAGAAATTGTTGATGAATTAAAATCTAACCGCGAAACAAGCATTGGCAGTACTCGTTTTATTTTATATCAGAGTATCCAATAAAGACACCACACTTATTTTCACTAAACACGCTAAATCTTCTAGTCGTAGAATTTCCTAAAAATACGTTCGAAACGGGTGTAGATAGAAAATGGGATGCAGAAGGAATAAAAAGAAACGGTGCGCGCCGGTTGGGAGGAGATAATGCGCAGCATCCACGATGGGAAATTTATGCGCGAACGTCGGGGATTCGCCTCGCGTCTGTTTACATTTTTAGCGTTTCCAATTATTCAATTACGGGAACGATAATCAGTCCTAGGAAAAAGATAAATGCGTCGTTTAAGGAATGCGCTCGTTGGTGCGCGCGCTGTGGGGGGAGAAAGAGGTGAGCGCTCACTCTGCTCAATGAACAATGATTAGAGTGTTTCACTGAAATTCTATTGACGCGAGCCACGTGCAGAGATGGGATTCGAACGAATCGCCGAGTCACGATCGAAGGAATCGCGGCGGATAGTCGGAGCGCAAAGCCGGAGCCTGATCACTCTGCTCTGTGTATCTCTCGGTTATCGCGGTTACGTAAGATTCAGCGGTTTCCTATTGATCGATTTTATCGATGAGTTGCGCGATTCGAAGCCGTGCAACGATTTCTATTAGAAGAAACAATATACGTCTTTGACCATCTAATGTCGTTTCCTGGTTTTTGCTAATTAATACCTGCTACCAAGTACACATCCTCGTATTTATAGATAATTATGTAAATACACCGTCGCTCCAGTGGGAAAATTCTGAAAACGCGGAGAAGGAGAGAAGAGAACCGCTTTGTTAATTAAAGTCACGTTTGCGTTTATTTTAGTTGTCTGTTAAAGAAAATAAATGTGAGTAGCATAGTTGGTGGATAAGTTCAGTGCAAAGAAACTTTAAAGGAGAATTTGATTTTTCAGGAGAGAAGAAAATCGCTTTGTTGATTAATGAAAAGTCACGTTTGCGTTGATTTCATCTCTCAATTTAAAGAAAGACATTTAAGCAGCACAGCTGGTAGATAAAATCAAAGCGCAAAGAACTTTCAGGTGAGAAGAAAACCACTTTGTTGATTAATGTCAAGTCACCTTTGCACCGATCTTATCTACCAATTAAAAAAAAAAAATACGAGTAGCATAATTAGTGGATAAAATTAGCGCGACGGTGTTTATTTCCCTTGGAAAATTAAACTTTTGCAATTTTACCATCGGAACGACGACATTTCCGAATCTATTGTACGGAATGTCTCGTGACAAAGAGCGAGGATACTTGGAATTCCGTTCGACGAAATGTGCAAAATTCGTAGCGGTGTGTTTGTTTTGATCAGTGGGGTAATTCCCATGTGACGAGTATTTTCTATTCGTTGTCAATACAACTGCGTGTTAACGTAATGAGTAACGTGAGTTTTCCTTGATGTATGCAAGGAAAATTGCAGAGATATTAGTGACACCGAGCAGACGTCGTAAGTGGCTTTTAGCAGCTAATGCGTTGCAATGCTTGCAACTTATTGTTAGTCAGGTGATAACGTTAACGCGAGAATAGTTTCTTTGATACATTTTGCTTCAGACATTCTATCCTGTTTTACATATCATTCGAAATAAATCTCCAAATTCGATTAAACATGTGTACAAAGAGTATTTATTTTACCATTTACATACTGATTAATTGAAGCCACCTAAAGATACTTACACGCAATTACAAAAATTCTGTGTGACTGAAATAAAACATAAAACTGAATTAAAAAATATTTAAAAATTTGGATATATGGAAATACTTTTTGCGTCCACTGTACATGTGGTAGAAGCTTAATATTTTTTAATTAAGATAACAGCAAATAAGTGGGATTGATTAGAACATGAAGAAAAATAGATATAAGTAAATAAATGTAAAATTCATAAATGTAATTAATTTAATATTTCAATAACAATTCCTTGGATTTATATAGTTGCATTTTTCGTGTCGCAGTACGAGGGAGTTGCAGTACGTAGATGCAGTGAACACGACGACGGGAAAGGAGGGGTGGTTGACTTTAAACGTTAGCGAACCTCTCGAACATTGGGTGAACAATCCTGATGGAAACAAGGGATTGTATCTGTCAGTACATCCCGCAGATCGTTCTGGTGAGTGAGAATTTACCGTTTTATATTTGCCTTTCAATTCTACGCTTTTATTTAACTTTCTCTCGTTCTTCAAAAAATTCTTCTTCTTCCATAATGTCTAAGACACGCTAGTTAAAAATATTTCACCTTTCGTATTCAAATTCTATGGAAGAGCAAAGCTAATCACAAAAGCCCACGTACGAAATATCATACGAACTTTTAAGTTCACTATTTTTTTTTTTTATCATTAGAAAAAAACTAAATTTTCACTTTAATTCTGTTCAGATGATCATGTATTAAAAATTCATCGTGTTCCTTTTTTGCATTCATAAAAGCACAGTGTGCAATAACGTACCGTGTAGAAATGAAACGCAGTAAAAATTTGAAATAGTTAGTTAGGCAAAAATAAAAATCTTAAACAAATGTCAGTGCACAATCTGACTCCAGGAATCTTACGCACCGCATTGTACCTATATCTACACAATTTCAAATTAATCGACCCATAATTTCTCGAAAGAGACTCATTAAAATACCCTGATTCCACAATTAACGAGAAACTCTGGAAAAGGAATTCCGAATATAAAGAGTATCGAGTATCGTATCGGTGAAACTTAACTCGTTAATCGAGACGCATCTCTCCTCGAGAAGAGTAAAAGAGCACATGGTTGCAGAGGCGTGCGCGTGGAACGGTGCTCGAGCGACTAAGACGCGGCACACGCTTCGTATTGAGCAATAGATCGTGGCTAATAAACGCTTCGGGGTCAGAAGTTCGACGCGGTAAATTCCGGGCGTTTCTTGTACACCTGGCTCCGAGAAGGCAGCAGCCTCCACCGATGTGTATAGGTATATATGCTTTCTCGAGAGTACACCTGTTCCACGCTCTCACTCCCATGCTGAAAAGCGTTCTTCGCTCTCGCACACCGTGTCTCTTCCAACGTGTGTACACACACACATATATATATATACATATATACGACCGATTGGCTAGCGATGGCTTCGTACCAAGCCTCCTTTCGTTCTCTGCCTTTCCACCTTTCCGGTCCATTTCTCTTCTCTTCTCTTAACTCGCTCGCTCGCTCACGTGCAATCCATTTCGCGGAATGTCCGCTGATTATTTTCCATTTGCCATTCTACGCGAGCTTCGTGCTGAAACGACTACGCCTCACAGAGGTGTGTACCCACTTCGTTGCTCTCGTTTCAGTATTTTTTCTGAAGTTCACTCGATTGTGTAAGATCGCGTTGGAATTTTTCTACGAGTCGCGCGCGCGCGCAGAAGGAAAGTGGAGTGTGAACGATTGATGAGAAGAAAATCTAGAGCAAAATCGATCGATAAAACGTGGACGTAGGTGGATTTAGAGTTTCATCGAGCAAGTGTAGAACGAGATCGGTTGGTGATTTCGAAGGACAGTGACGACGACGACGACGACGACGATGTGTTGCTCGCGGTTTCAAGCTTTTCGTGCGTCACTCGAGGTCCTTCCTAGCCCCGGCAGAGCGAGCATACGAATACATCATCGACAACAGGCCAAGCTGTGGCGTCGTCTTGTCTTCCTATACTGGCGAGATGTGCGTGCGTGGGATTCAGTCCGAGGAAGAGACGAAGCCGGACGGCGAATGCCTGGCCAGGAGAAACGGAGATAGGAAGACATGAACGGAACGAAGACCCAGATGGTGAGATAAGGACGCCCCTGAATCTAATTCTGCCACCGAATCTCAGATGAGAATCGTCGCTTTGGCGTACGAGAGAAGAGATTACCTTGATCCGATCCTTCAGATAAGCTACACCTGTTTAGCTAGCTACGAGCCGATGAGCTTTAGATCACCGATCATTTTCGTTCCCTTCTATGGACGTCCCCCGGCTAGATCTTTCCACCGTTTCGACCTGTGGAACGAACGGTGCGGTAGCCTTGATTAAATCTCATCGGGATAACGTACGAAAAACAGATCCTAGGCCACGACTAATATTCATCGGTGAACACGTGTTTTCTTCGTGTATCCGAGGATCCACGAGAGCGTCGAGATATGTAACATCCGATGATCTTTGTATCGAGGTTCGAAGAGCTGCCACGGAAGCTATCGATCCACGAGACAAACAGGTTTCGAAGGGTTGACGATGAAGGATTTGTTAAAAACTCTTCAACTATCGTAACCCTTTCGCTGTACTCGTTTTTTGCGTGAAAACGACCACACGGAGAGAGACTGTACGGATGCATTTATGTATTAAATTACGAGCGTCGTAAATTACGACTGCTGTAAAAAGGTGAACGCTATACTTTGTTTGTAGCAGCGAAAAGGTTAACGATGCTTGAATAGACGATTTCGACGTTATTTGAACTTTTTACCTACGTTGAATATCTCGTTCGTTCGATAGAAGATGTATCGGGGAGAATTGGTGTACGAATGGCGATACAAACGTACCGGTTAATCGTTCGCGAACGATTGAACGAGCGCTTTTCCACCAAATCGAACTGCCCTGTATAATTTACCTGTCGATAGAGCCTTTATTTATGTAGTTCGTTCGCCGTGTATTTTGTTGGTACACGTTGTAGAATAAATCGATCGTATCGAACGAAGACTGGTTGCGTTCGATATTCTCAGCAATGAGAAATGATCAAGATACGACGCCTTGGATTACCGACATCGAGACAGTAATTGGATCACGATTGTTGAATAATTGGATAATACTAGAATGCTTTATATCACGTTCCACCTAATTTTCCTTGCAAAACTTCTGCCAGCCTGTCCGGCTGAATATTCATTCCGACGTCAAATTAAATTATCGCGTCAGAGGCTCGAGCAACGATCCGGTGAAATGATTACGTTCGTTCCGACTAATCCAGTTCTCATAGTTGGAACATTCAAATCACCCCGAGTCTTCCACGGAAACATTAACGATTATCCTTCCTCCTTTATAGCCGTTTCTTTATGCGGGAAACGGTAACAACGTGATTACCCTAATAAAGATACACCGTGTCTTACAAAGTTCCAACAACCTCTCGGCATGCTGTAACATTAAACGATAATCCGTCGAATTATCGGAAGCTTTTCATAGACAAAGCAGAGGCTGACGTAGCAAGAATTGCTACTTTCTTCCCACCTGAGTTCTCTACACGCAACAATACAAATACTCGAAAAAATCACCCAGCAAAGGTACGCTCTTCTTTCGAAGAAAGAATCAACAGAGGGGTTAAACACTTCAATCGGAGTGTGCCTGCATCTTTCTCGTATCACTACTTACGATTCTCGAGTCTCGTTCCCATGATTCGAGCACCGTCCTTTCTACGCCGAAGGAAGATCGAACGGAGAAGGAAGAAGGTAAAAGAAGAGGGAACAAAAGTCCCAAATACGGTGGCAGGAACTAACGAGCAACACCAGAGGTACGATCGTCCAGGTGAACTTGTTCCATTTGACGTCTCAGTTGGAAGGTTCAACGTTCCTGGGCCAAGTCTCGTGAAGCGACGAAGATAATTCAAGAGGAGTTCGCGGTGACAACCACTGGGGAGTGTTCTTCATGATCGTGGAAGAACGGCGCGTGTCCAGCTTGTAATCCTTGTATCCTCGCGCTTTACTCACCGGTAACAGCCAAGAGGCCAGACATAACGACATCGTGGATATAAACGAGGCACATTTCAGCCGGAGAACGAGGCATCGTACGTGAGAGCTTGAAATGCGCGCGTATGCGTGCGTACAGTTTGTTGTTTGCCGCGCCTAGATCATTTTGTTGCTTGCCTCTCTCACCTCGTACTCCTCCTCCTCCTCACCGGTTTCTCACTCCTCCTCCTCCAATCGTCGATCCTCCTCTCTCACCCTCTCCGGTTTACCTTTGATCATTCAATATAAAACACAAGATCGGAGGCGCACACCTCTGCGCGCGCGCGTTCACGTATACACACAGGTATCTGTAGCATACATCGAAAGGTACGATTCCGTTCCTCGGTAATTCCTCCCTATCTCTGTCTCCCTCTGTTTCCCTCGTTCCCTCCGTAACGTGTCGCTCTTTCTCCCTCTTTTTCACAAGCTTCTGCTTCTCTTCTCCGTTCATCTCTCGCCTCCCCCTTTAGCGCGTGTGTGTGTCCGATCCCTCTCCTTTTTCTCTCCGTCTTTTCCCCGGAGGCACGTCCCTCTTGCGACACGCATTCGCACGCATACACTACGCTATCCTTTATCCATCTCCCGTGCTGCTCTCTGGCTCTCCTCCTCCTCCTCCTCCTTCTCCTCCTCCTCTTCTTCTTCTACTTCTTCTACTTCTTCTTCTCGTCTGGTTAAGAAACCCTCGGTTTGTTTGCACTGGTTCGCCGTCACGCGGACGCGCGGCTCCTCTCCGTCCTCCCCCTTCGCCAGAGGAAGTTTCCTCCGGTTGCAGAAAACCAGATGCTTTCGAAAGTACAGCCGCTATACAGGCGGCTATCCCTCTGCCTCTAAAGACCGGCTACACACCTCCGCGTGATACGCCCACGCGTGTCTAACTGCGTGCTGGCTTGCTTGCTTGCTTGCTTGCTCTCGCTCGCTCGCTCGCTCTTCAGGCTTGCGACACCTCGCTATCACCGCGAACGAGAACGAGCCTTTGTCAGATGCCTTCGGATTTATCGTCGGTTGCACCGACTCGGTTCGTCCCGAAATTTCCAAACAGACCTCGTACATTACCGGTTTTACCAAAACCTCCTCTTCTAACGTTCTCTCTTCTCAGAGTACACGTCCGATCCAGGTGACTGTTACTTTCCACGCGACTGTGTTACTTTCCCGAACGAGAGGTACGCGTGTATACCTGGGAAACTTCACTTCTCACCTACGGCGGCACTCGAGATTTTTCTCACACGTTCCCGTGTTACGCCTGTAGGGTCGTAATTGCATAATATATTATATATTTGCCCGTGTAACGATAATATTTGCCCAGGCCGATGTTAGTTTATCCAACGGCTAACAAATCGTTCGCACGAGTGTTTGGAGAACAGGTTGGTACGTTGGGTAAATAAATGTTTAGGGGATCGTGGGTATTTGTCGGTGAAACGGGCAGCATCCGA